GTCGGGATGGTGGCCTCTTCCTTTTCTGTTTCACGGGGGACAGGAAATTACCTTTTTCGGCCAGCCGCTCGATCGCGCTAGTGGGCAGCCGGCCGCCCACTAGACGCGTCCTAAGAACATTAGGCCGGGTGGAGCGGTTTCTATGAGATAAGGCGCCATCATCACCCGCATCCGGCGCTTTCGCTCGATCCCTCGCGAGCTGAGCGTGCGTAGGCTACCCCGCTTCCGTTGGATCCACACGCGATGGGCACGCGTAGGCTTGATCCCACCACAGGTCGTCCGCGTGGCCCACTTCGCCTGAATCGAGCGGCCGCCACATCCGCTAGCTTCCGACGGCGCGACGCATCCTCTCAAGTCTCGACCACCCTGATTCGCTCCTGTGTTGAGGAACGGGAGCGCTTGTATGAGTGGGCCTTCCCTTTGTTGGGCCGAGGGAAACCCAATTAATCATAGGGGTCCAAAATAGCTACCGGAGTAGCTGCCCATGCGACTTCAGGCCCAGTTCGCGCTAAACTTCAGATCGACGACCAGGAACGTTTAACAACAGAAATCAAACAGCCAGAAATGCCTAATTCGTGAGAGGGCAGGGATTAGGTGCAGTTTTACTATTCTTAATAAGCAAGGGTGACGCTGGAAAGGAGCCGGCGGCCGGTAGGACGTCCTGGAGACGGGGCGGTCGAGGGCGGCCACCGGCAAGCTGGTTGACGTCTGGGAGATCACGGGAACTGCTCGTGATGAAAATACGCCATGGTGTTTCTAAAACTAGCAAAAGCGGTCAGGGGAAGAAGGCATCTAGGGCTATTATCAAACGAATCATACGTACCCGGTGCGACCGGCCGAAATTTCTCAAGATAAGAAATGTTTCCCCCACAAGAAAAAAAAAGAGATAACAAATGTTTGCTGAACCAAGTCGGACATGAAACAACATCATGAGTTGCAATTCTCAAACCATGCATGGCCAGAATGCAAGTGCCATAAAGATTATAAATAGATGCTTCTCATCTTGTGATTCAGTCTCAATATATCAAGAAGATTTTTGCATCAAGCTGACCAGACCATTTAGACAAAAATGTTTTGCCTGGCCTTTGTTTCTGTCACGGCGGTAATTTTCTCCAGCAAACTTCCTGGATGGTGCCATCAGACAGGCAAACTCGAAGATTTGAAACATGGACACTGCAACAGGGTAAAGAGAAGATGCAACAAAAGGTGTTGCCTCCTGGTTTTAAACCAAGCTCAGGTCCAACTACTCATCCAAAAGAACGCGCAGCAGCTAAAATCCATTTTCATGAGTTTCACCAAACAACAAACACGCAGGCTTCCAGTACAGTACCAAAGGATAGAAAGCTGGAAACTGATTATGGCGGTAACAACTAACAGGGCTGTCGTTACAGACATATTCAGAGAGACATGAGGCTTCAGACCACCATCACAAGCGAGCATGTATCGCATCCCAAGCGGTGTCAGGGGGACGCCTGGTTCTGCGGTAGACCGAGGCAAGGGACGCATAGGCTTCTGGAAACTGAAACCTATACAAAACATGACGATGCAATAAGTTTGGTTTCGAATTCCAAGATCTCAACTGACATAGACGGATAATAGCTTGGCTAGCAGTTTGATGTAGAAGAACTATCATGCAACTTTAGCAACTGTTTTTTCTCTCAATGTGGCATCGACCAAATTTTATTTTTTTACACAAAAGTTTAGCATTGTGACAGCAACATATTACGTATATGATCACTCAGATACATCAGCACTCAAGAGGGTTTCAGACTTCAGACACTAGTGAGACAGGCATGCAATTTGGCCATCAAACACTAGTCATGAAACTGACAACAGGCTAGTAAGAACACTGAAACAAATGAGGCAGTACACTATCACCCCTCAGTTGAAGATTTTTAGAAAATTTAATGTGCCAACTAGAGAAGGGGAGCCTTGGCGCAGTGGTAAAGCTGCTGCCTTGTGACCATGAGGTCATGGGTTCAAGTCCTGGAAACAGCCTCTTACAGAAATGTAGGGAAAGGCTGCGTACTATAGACCCAAAGTGGTCGGACCCTTCCCTGGACCCTGCGCAAGCGGGAGCTACATGCACCAGGTTGCCCTTTTTTTAATGTGCCAACTAGAACAAGAGCAAAGATAAAACTCAATTTCAAGACGAAAATGACTACTATTTCCATCAGTAATTAAACAGTAAAAGAACACAGGATCAAACCCAAATGATTTTTTTGCATGGATGGAACAGATTTAAGACACAACCGATTTATAGGCACAACGGCAGCAGTAACTATTGTATTATCACCAGTAATAACAAAGCAATTAATTTCGGTGAAACCTAACAGTCGTTCTGAACTACGCCAGCACACAATCCAATAATGGACACTGAATATAAATAGATTTCAAAAGGGTCTCATAAACTCGAGTGTTATTTAATTCCAACAGAGGTGATAAAACAAGTAGGAATATCATAGGAAAAAATGAAGAAATGACAAAGGTTACTTACAGTATGAGTGATGCTAATTTGATCACGAAGTATGCCACATGTACTCAAGAACTTCAGAATTTTGTGAACTCCCTCATCGACCTTTCTACATTCAATGTTGACAACCTTAAGGTGGGAGCATACAAATGATTGTTCTATCTTTTCTTCTGCTCCTGTTGCTCTAACGAATTTCTGTGATACAATTTAGTTAGATCAACAGAATATACATAACAGTTCCTTTAACAATACAACAATGTCTTCATATATATATATATATATATATATAGGTTATACCTCAGTGCTACCAAGCTGAAGAGTGAGCACCTCAAGAACTGGAGAGTGTTGGAGAATGCACAGTAGGTCAATAGTCGTAAACCACTCATTGAGTGATAGAGTCTTTAGTTTGTCAAATATGGGGCAGCATTCTAAATCCCATCTATAGATAAACTGCACAAATAGCAAGCAAACAAAATGGAACTTTGAGACTCTAGAAGAAATCATTTCCGGTAGTAGGAACATTGGGTAGATACTTTAATTTCAAACTACCAAATAGCAAAGGAACAAAAAAGAACAGTGAGACTCAAGAAGGCGAAACAATTTAAGTAAGTAGGAAGTTTGGGTAGATACTTTAATTTCAGGCATAAGGAAAGACAGAACTACAGCTCAAGCCCTGGAAATACATTTTATCCAATCAAGCTACAATGTTATAAAAATTATTAATTTAAAACCCATTGGTAGAGATAAAAGTAGCAACCTGTGGTAATGAGAACAAGTATATGCAGGTCTAACAGTGGACAGAGATGTTACAGAGAATCCATGCTTGGCACATAACAAAAAGAGTGAAAAAGGAAGTAAGTGTAAATGTACCAGTTCTAAATAAGCATTGCCTACCAACTCCAAACTCACAGCATTGGACAAACCATGGAGAAGCACACCCTCGTCAACTGGTAAGCACGACAGCTGCAGTCCTCATACTCACAGTTCTGCCGGTTACTATGACAAGAATAAAAAGGGCAACCTGGTGCATGTAGCTCCCGCTTGCGCAGGGTCCAGGGAAGGGTCTGACCACTTTGGGTCTATAGTACGCAGCCTTTCCCTACATTTCTGTAAGAGGCTGTTTCCAGGACTTGAACCCATGACCTCATGGTCACAAGGCAGCAGCTTTACCACTGCGCCTATGACAAGAATCATAGCAACTATTGTGAAGCCAAACATAAGCTGTTTCTAGAGATGGCATGTATTCAAGGGAAGGGGTCAAGCCATCAAAATTATCAAGTTGCAGTGAGATAAGACCCGGGGTAAATATCCGAATGTGAAACTTCGTAGGGAAGGAACAGAAGTCGGTAATGCAGAGACGCTTTAGCGATTTGGAAGATATCCTGCGTGCATCAATGTAGCAATCTTGCATCTCTAGTTCCTCCAATACCGAGCAGCGCGAGAAATTCAGAGTGGAGCGTTTTAGGTCAACCCGTTTAAGGTGTAGGATCTTCAAGTGCTGGGAGATGAGAGGCACATCGAGTACTAGTGGGTCATACTCGACGTCATTATCATCATCTTCTTCAGTAGCAACACTGAGCAGGAGCTCCTTAACTTGGCACTTTAGAGCGTACTGGATCAACAGCATGGTGTTTGTGTATGTGCGCTCATCATCATCATCATCAAGACAGCCAACGATCTTGCACTTGTCGAGAGGTGAGTCCCCGCGGAGGTGGATGAAGAGGTTCACCAGCTGTTTGAAACGTTCGGAGCTCGGGAAACTCGACTGGTCAAAGATGAGTGGCAGGCTGGTGGTGCGCCTCCAATGGTCACGCCACCCGGTGTCGAGCACGCAAGTCTGCAGGGCATCAGCCGCAGGCAGAAAGGACAGCACGTGCCGAAGGAGGTCGTCAGGGAGGTCACCGAATTGACCCTTGCCGCTCGCCGCTGTCTTGCTGAGCATTCCGTCGAACAGGTGACGCGCCCTGCTGGAGCGGAAGAAAGAAGGAATCAGCAGAAGAAAAATGGGGAATGCAGAATCACCAGATCGGGGAATCCAACAGGCAGCACCACCTGAGCTCGACCCGTGAATCCGAGAGCAGGCGGGCACCGACGTCTCCAAGCTCGTCGAGGGGAGCTCCCGCGGCCAAGCCCTGCCCCGATTTCTTCCGGAGCCGCCGGAGCTCGCCCCGTCCGTGAGCGAGAGGTGGGCGGCGCGAGCAGACGAGCAGTTCGAGCGCGGAGCAGGTGGGGCGGGATTCAACAATGAGGAGGAGCGCCGCCGCGGGTGGATACTGGAAAGTGAAAATGGCCGCGGCGTTGTGGTGACGGACACAGAATCCTATTTTGTCTAGGCAGGCCCGGTCTAGCGAGCGGCCGGCTGCTGGCTACACTTTGCGAGCGAACGGCCTAAAATTGCAAGTTTTGGTCCCTTGATAATCTATAAATAGCAATTATCTAGTGTGTGTTTTTTTTTGTCACTTAGTGAATATTTTTGTTAGTATTAAATGTGTACAGCAAATGCGTACAGACTAGTACTCCCTCCGTTTCAGTTTACAAGTCATGCGCGTATACCTAGGTTGTCAATTTTATCACCCTAATATAAACTATATAACGCAAAAATTATCCCTTTTGAAAATAGACAATCTGAAGTTTATATTAATATACTTTTTATAATATATGACTTGTATTAGGTTGGTCAAATTGATGACCTAGGGGTACGCGCACGCCCTGTAAACTGAGAGAGAGGGAGTATGTGAAACACATTTATTCTCGCCTCTTAAATCTTTAAAAAGTCATATCTTTTAAACCACAGGTTGGAATTCAGATCCGTTTTCACATTTGGATTAATCGCAACGAGATCTTCGAAACTAGATCCCGCATGAGTATGTTTTGACGAATTTTTTATGCCAATTTTGGTGCTATATGGTGCAAGTAAAGTACTGCACTGTGCAACTAGACTATATTGCCGCGCCAATCGAGTATATGTGTGTAACTAGTCCTGCCGACTAAATACCAATACGTGTGCAACTAGTGTCCTGTCAACTAAACATCAATGTGTGTGCAACTAGACTATATTACAAGCCAACTAAGCATATGTGTGTGCAACTAGTCTTTCTGCCAACTAAACATCAATGTGTGTGCAACTAGACTATGTTACAAGCCAACTAAACATCAATGCATGTGCAACTAGACTACATTACAAGCTATGACAATTCATATGCGACTCTGCGGACCAGATTGTGCAACTCTGTGGCCATGCATGTGCCAACTAGGACTACTATGTGTGCAACTACAACTACTGTGGATGCAGCTCTAAAAAACTGGGTTTGAAAAAATTGCACCATACATTACTAAAGTTGCACAGTGCAGTACTGAAGTTGCACAATATAGCGCCAAAGTTGGCATCAAAAAAATTCGTCGAAACATACTCATGGGGGATCTAGTTTCAAAGATCTCGTCGCAAAGAATCCAACGATAAAAACGAAACTGAATTCCGACGTGTGGTTTAAAAGATATGGCTTTAAAAGAATTTGAAATCCCAAAATAAAAGTACGTGAATCTGTTTTCTTTAACTCATGAGACTAGTGTGAACACATTTAATGCCAGCACCCACATGCGCTACGAGACAAAAAATACACATGCATGTGTGTGACAGACGTGGCCGCTCGCGAGCGCCAGATAGTGCGCGTGCACTTTCTAGTATTTAGGTTTTGTCTAAGAGCATCTCCAGCCGTTGGCCCACCAGGAGGGGCTAAAAATCGCCCCTGGGGCGCACCGGCGCTAACCCGCGCGCTGGGGGCGTGATGCCCCCCAGTCGCTGCTCCCCGCCGCCCGCCCTCGCAGTTCTACATGCCGAGTAGGCTATAGAACCGCGTGTAGTCGTCGCCGTCGTCATCGTCGTCATCGTCGCCTCCTCCGCCGCCGTCGTCCCTGCTGCATCCCTCCCCCGGTTGGCGCGGCGGGTTGGACGGTTCGGGGGCGGCCTCCTCGTCGTCGCTGTCGAGGATGAAGACGTCGTGCTCGTCCTCGCGCCCGCGCTTGCGGGCTTCGATATCCTCCAGGGCCCGGCGCTGCCGGACCATCTCGTCGCGGAGGTAGTCGTTCCGCGCCCACTGCAGGGCGTCCTCGTCAGAGAAGCCACGCCGGGCTATCTCCTCGTACTTCGAGGGGAGGCTGGGCTCCGGCTTGGGCTCGACGAGGACGAAGCGGCCGGATGGGGGGTTGGAGTCGCTGATGCGGACGCGGGAGGAGCTGCGGGTGCGCGCGCTGACCGGCGTGTCCTGGGGCTCCGGCTTGACAGGGCGGAGGCAGGGAGAGCCCGACGAGCGGCCGGACGAGGAGGAGGACGCGTCGGGCCGCTCCATGCGCCTCGGCGTCCAGGAGCTCCCACGGTGGCGTGAGAAGGTCGGGGGAGCGGGGTACTCGAGGCGCGGCATGTTGCCGCCCTCGATGTACTCGAGGACGGCCTCCAACGTGCGGTCGGGTACGCCCCACCACCGGCGCTGGCCCTCGGAGTTGAGCCTGCCGGAGGGCACGACGCCGTTCGTCGCCTCGAGCTGCTCGGCGTGTCGGCGGAGGAAGTAGGGCTCCCAGAGCGGGCTGTCGGGGGTGTACCGCGGGCCTTCCCTCGCCGCCCGTGGCAGGGACGCGCGGATGCGTGCGATCTCCGCACGCCGCGCCACCCCGGTGGGCGGTGGTGGCACGGGCACGCCGGCGGCGCTGATCCTCCATGACCCGGGCACCCACATGTCCGGCGGGGCCGGGTACTCGGCCTCGATGGCGGCGGCCGAAACCATTCGCCGCCGCGCCGTCGCCTGGGAAGCGCTCGGCCATCCTTCTGAGCTGGAGAGGGCGAGAGGAGGAAAAGGGAGAAGTGGGCGCGTTGGCGGTGTAGTGTGCGTGCGTATCTCCGGCGCGCTGGTCCTCGGCTTATATAGGCGGAAGCGCCGCGCGGTAGGCTGGCTGGCGCGTTACGCGTGGCGGGAGACGTGGCGGCCGAGGGGACGCGCGTCGCCCGGACTTCATTGCGCCGCCCGTGAGGCATCAATGGAGGCTGACCGGCGCGGCAGCGCGCGCAGCTTTGGCATTGATTCGCCGCGGGAAACAAGGCGATGAGGACGACGAAACGGCGAGAGGGGAGCCGAGTCGCTGACGCGGCTGGCCCACGGCGCTTTAGCGCCATAAAAGATTCTCCCGGCGCCCCCAAGCGACCCCCAGCGCGCCGGGTTTGGGTTGGGTCCGCCGGCGCCAATTTCGCCCCGAGCCGGCGAAAAATGGGCCCCTGGGGACGCGACTGGGCCGATTTTTTGGCGTCGGCGGCCGAAAAATCGTCTGGGGGCCTTGTTGGGGGCGCGGCTGGAGATGCTCTAATGCGTTTGGTTGCTCGAGCCGATTTCGGCGTGTTTACATAAGACTGAGGAAAATAGCCTATAAATTAGGGATTGCATACTGTTTGGTTACCCGTATATATAGGTTAGCTGTATGAGGCAACAAATTTTGACCCGTTGTTTGGTTGGCCACATAGCATTAGGCACACATATGACATGTTGTTTGTGTTGTCATCACTTCTCATTAGTGATGACCTTACCACACACAATCTTAACAATTTCACTCATAGCTACGAAACAAATTATGGTTCGTTCTAACTACTATCAAATGAAAATACACATTATTAAGAGCGAAATGGCTAAATGGGGAAAGTTCATCATCCCTCCTCTTCCTCTTACCTCTTCCGCTGTTGTTGTTATTCCTCTTCGTCTTCCTCTTCTGCTGTTGCTCTTACTCTTCTTCTTCTTTAGATTCTTGTCTGACCTCTGTTATCCCACATTGCGTGTGCCCACTCCAGCCTTTTGTTCTTCCAGGCTTCGTTGTCAAATGACTCAACACCATTGCCACCGAGGTCAAGATCGTTAGGCGTCACCTCTCCTTCCTTGGGCACAAGTTCATCAACACCTCATTGGAGGATCCAGTTATGCAGAATGCAACATGCAAGAACAAGCTTGACCGGGTAGGGTAAGGGTGGAATGGCTTCTGATCCAGGATTTTAAACCTATTCTTCAGAGCTTCAAATGCCGTCTCAACTGTTACTCTAAGGCTGGAGTGTCTGAGATAGAACAGTTCCTAAGGAGTCCTAGGATAGTTCCTACCAGAGACCTCGTTCAGATGGTACCTAGTTTTCCTGAAGGGTGAAAGAACACCTGGCCGACATGCATAGCCAGCATCTCCTAGGTAGAACTTGCCATCAGGACGACAGATGTTTTCACTGAGTATGTTAGCATCATGTGCTGACCCTTCCCAGTCAGCCAGCACATAGGTGAACTTCAGATCGAAGTCAACAACAGCAAGCACATTCTGACATGTGTAGTGCTTCCTCCCCCTGAATGTTGCAGCTTGTGACCTCGGCACTCTAGCAGTGACATGAGTATCATCTATTGCCCCAATGCAATCCTGAAACAGCAATACAATATTGTGTTAGTGCTCACCTTGAACTATCCAAGCATATCAAGCAATGAACTACATACGCAGTGCTCACCTTGAAGTATGGATACCATCTTGAGCTTGTGCGAATCTTGGTAGGAGTCTGACCAGTTGGTGACTTGATCATCTCTCCTCTGAGCTCCCCAACAGCGTACGACACTTGCTTAAAGTACCTTGAGATGGTCTCCATTGACCTCCTGAACGTGTTGTGGATAACCCTAAACCTATGGTTAAGGCCAACAATATGAAGGAACATGACGACTTGCTCTTTCACACTGGCGGATGCTATCTTCTAGCAGCCCCCTGGTCCTAAAGGTCTGAACAAGTCTGGCAAATGGTGCCTTTCATTCTAAGCATCCACAGATCATGTGTGTCGTTGCAGTTGGATATGTAGTTCAGATTAGCGATCATCTCCTGCTCCCGCATAAGCAGTCGAGCATATCTGATGAGAGGCCTCTCAGCACGACGAACAACTCGCTTGTGCATGAACATGACCCATGCCTGAATCACAGCTATCATTGCTCCTTCCTGAAGTACCAGCCGCATCCGTGCATCCATAACCTAGTCTACATCGAGGGTGCGTTGAGCAACGGGGAAATCGATCCTACACCTTGCCTAACGGCCTAACAACGCACTTAACATAGGGGAGAGGCGGTGTTGCTTACCGGTATCGGAGACGAGGACGATGAAGTGGGGGGGGGGCATGGCTGAGTAAAGGACAATCAGATGGTGGCCAAATGGAAGGGCAACATCAGCTCTTACTGTCGGATCTGCCGCCGCCGCCGCTTGCACAGATCTGAGTCGCTGTCGCCAGTGGTGGTGAGGCTAGAGGAAGTGGTTGTCCTAGATGCAGCGGTGACCGAATAAATGGGCGGGGGTGAGCCTAGATTTAG